CTTTAGAAGTTTAATAAAAGAGAAGGACATAGTTTCCAAGTTACTTTTGAAATATTACTTCAGATTTTAAATTTATTTCATCTTCTGTGCATGTATATTTTGCCTGTATGTCTTTCTGTGCAAGATATGCACATCTGGTGCTCATGAAGGTCAGACAAGGGCAACTGAGTCCATAGAATTGGAATTATTGGGCAGGAGAATCAAAGTTAGGTCTTCTAGAAGAGCAGCTGGTGCTCTTGAGCATCAAGCTTAAGTCTCTCTAGTCTCCCATAGTTACTATGGTTACCATTTTAAGGTTTTTCTATTGGCAGTCATTTTTTTAAACATAAAACTCAAATTCTTTCTGTTTTATCCAGAACTAATGTATTCACAAGTAAGTTTCTTTCTAGACATATTACTCTTTTCTTCTTTGTTCAATTCTCTTGTCTAGTTGGAAAACCTCTCAGCCACTCTCCCATCCTCTGATATTTTTTTGAGACAGTGCTTCTCTGCATTTCCTTAGCTGTCCTGAAATTCTCTCCATAGACCAAGCTGGCCTCTAACTAGAGATCCACCTGCTTCTGCTTCCTAAGTGCTGGGATTAGAGGCATGTGCCATCATGCCTGGCTTTTTCCTTCCCAAGTGTCTTGTTACATAGAAATCTTTTCACCCAAGAGCTTATGAATTGGAGTGATGTATTCTTATTTCCAATCACCACCAAATTCCCAAAGGTGGGACCTAGAGCAAGGGGTTCACCTCTTTGTGGATAACTTGCTGATGTATAAAATGGAGATAGAGAATATTTCTACCTCTTATGGAAGATATGAGGATTGTCTGGTTATTATGTCTGTATATAAAGTATAGAGCATAATGTCTAGAACATGCTAAGTACAATAAGAAAGTTTGCTGATATAAGTGTTGAGTTTCTACAAGTGAACTTCAAAAATCTTTCCTCTTACTAATTAAAAGCAATCTGTAGATATGACAAGGAGTGTGGTGGTCTAGTTAGGCCCCCACAGACTCATGTGTTTGAATACTTAGCCCATAGAGTATGGCACTATTAAGAGGATGCCCTTGTGGGAGTATGGCCTTGTTGGAAGAATTGTGTTATATTGGAGGTGGGTTTTGAGGTCCCATATATGCTCAAGCCATGTCCAGTGTGAGTTTCCTGATCCACAGTGGTGTGGATCAAGATATAGAACTCTCAGCTATCTCTCCTGTACCATGTCTACCTGAATGACACTATGTTTCCCACCATAACTGCAATGGACTAAATCTCTGAACTGTAAGCCAGCTCCAAATGTCTTCCTTTATAAGAGTTGCCATGGTCATGGTGTTTGTTCACAGCAATGGCAATCCAAAATAAGACAGAAGTTGGTACCAGAAGTGATGCATTGCTGTGATAGGCCTGATCACGATTTTGTTTGGAAGAAGGTGGACATTGTAACTTTGGATTAGAAAAATGGTTGAATGCTTTAAGTGGGGCTTAATGGGCCATCCTAGGGGAAACATGGAAGACAGTGGTGCTAGGGGTGATTTGAACTGTGGAGGCCTGGCTCAAGTGGTTTCAGAGGAGAAGAATATTTGTATGTGGCCTAGAGACTATTCTTGTGATGTTATGGCAAAGAATGTGGCTACTTTTTGCCCTTGTCTGAAGAAAAGTATGCCTGAGGTTAAATTGAGGAGTTTTGGACTGATTTCATTGGCAGAGGAAATCTCAAAACAGCCTAATATTGACACTGTAATGTGGTTATTACTGTTCACTATTATGAAGTTCTATAGCAAGAAAGAAAAAATAGAAAATATACAATTTCAGGAGAAAGGGGCTACCAGGAAGTAGAATGAAGCTAAATACGGTGTTCAATTAAATAGACATAAGAAAAGCCTAATGTTAAATGGGATAAAAGGAGTGGTGATTTCAGGACAAGATCCCACCTAGCTAAGCTTCCAATATATGAAAAAGATTTAAAGAACATCTTAGGTTCATAGAGCCAAGCAGATCTTTGAGTTCTAGGCCACACTCATCTATCGAGGAAGTTCAGGACAGCCAAGCTTAAGCACTGAAGGAAACCATGGAAAACAGAAGGCTGGTGAAGATGTAATTGAATGAGGGGATAATGTTCCAGACTCAACAAGCATCAGAAATCGGAACCTTCAGCCATGTGGTTCTGGCCTTAGAGTCAAGCAAAGAAGAAAGTGGTTATGGAATATTCCTTTGCAACTGGGGAAAACCATTGAGGCCAGGCATGTGGCAGAGGTATTCCTTCATGCAGACCCAGAGAAACCATTGTATGAAGCTGTGAAGGTGAAGCCTGAATTGCTTTGAAGAGCCCAAAATGTTAGAGATGCCGGAGCCATGGGATCCCTGCTGAGAAAAGCTGCTAAAATGGAGTGGAAACAGCCAAGAGAAAGAAGTGTGTTGCAGTCAACAAAACTGAAAGGAGTTGGAGATCTGAAGAGGGTTTTGACATTAGACACGGAGATATGGAGTTTGGAATTTACCCAGCTCACTTTTGGTCTTGTTTTGGCCCAGTATTTCTCACTATTCTCACTTCCCTGACTTTTGGAGTGGTAATGTGATGGGGAATGTACTACTGTGTATGTTTATCTTATTGATTGTTAAATAAAATACTGTTTGGCCAATGAGACAGCAAGTTAGACGGGACTAGGAGTCAAAGAGGATTCTGGGAAATGTAGTAGAGAAGTGGTGATCCAGGCAGGAAGTGACATCGCAAGGAGACTCATATTTAATGAAGGAGAAACAGGAAGCATCCCTCTTCCCCCTCCGCTCCTGCTCCAGTTGCACAATGTGATCTACCGGCAAGGAGGGACGCCAATAAGGCGTCCGATAAGATAAGTCTTATAAAATATATAGATGTATGATAATTGAGACTGAGCTAACAGATGAGGAATCCTAGTCATTGGCCAAGCAGCTTTGAACCTAATACAAGTTTCTGTGTATTCATTTGGGCCCTAACTCAGGCGAAAGCTCACATGTGGCGGTGGGGCTCAGGCGGCTTTTGGTGGAAAGATTAATCATAACAGTAATGTATATATCCTGTCATTATATGTTGGAAGTATATGATCTGTTTTTTATTTTGATTTTGCAATCTGTTTCTGATTTAATTTTAACAGTCATGTTAAGAGATCACATTAGTCTCAGAAGAAACTTTCAACTTTGGACTTTTAAACAAGTTTGAGACTATTACAGACTATGGGGATCTTTGAGGTTGGACTGAAACTATTTCTACATTGTGGTATGGCCACAAGTCTATGTAGTCCAGGGAGTGGAATGTAGTGGTTTGAACAGGAATGGATTCCAGAGACCCATGGGTTTGAATGCTTGGCTCATATGGAGAAGCACTATTAGGAGGTGTGGCTTTGTAACAGTTAGTATGGCCCTGTTTGAGAAAATGTGTTACTGTGAAGTTGGGCTTTGAAGTCTCCTATATACTCAAACCATGCCCAGTGTGACAGTTTCCTTCTGCTGCCTGGGGATCAAGATGCAGAACTCTCAGCTCACTCTCACTCTCTAGCACCATGTCTGCCTGCATGCCAGCATGTTGCCTGCCATGATGATAATGGACTAAATCTCTGTACTGTAAGCCATCCTCAGTTAAATGTTTTCCTTGATAAGAGTTGCCATTTTCATGGGGTCTCTCTCTTCACAGCAATGGAAACCAAAACTAGGGCAAGGAGTTTTAAAAGCAAATCTCTGAGTACACTTACAGCCACACCAAACATTGACTAACACATTCTTCCAGAAGGTTTGTATTAGCCTTGATCTTTTCTAAACAAAAATGACCACAGTAGAGGAGACAATTCTCGTTCTCCCACATACAGACATGAAATGGCAAATGTTGGGCAGAAGATGGTCTTAATATTAGAGAATAACTTGATTTGTATTTGGATACACTGCTTTCCTGGGCTATATTGGAGACTTCTGTCAAATTCATAGGTCAATGCCATGCAGTTGATTGTTGCCTTTATATGCTACTTTGGCAAGCAGGGAAGCTCAATTCCATACATTTTTTAAAGAAGATTTTCTTCTACAATTCTTTCCTGATATCCAGGGTCTCTAAAATGCTTACCAAGGTGCAAGGAAAACCACTAGCTTCATTCATGAATATTTTACATGATGTATGACAGTATCTCCTCCTCTTTTCCAGAGTGATTGTAAATTTAGAATTCATAAAACAAAACTGATGGCTGCCTAAAAAAAAACTCATTGCCACTTAATACATATGTATATCTATCTCTGGACAATAAACATGT